TGTAAAATATAAAAAAAATCCGTAAATTCAAACGTATTTCTTATAATCTATATATATAAAGAAGAAAGTTTGTCTGTTTGTTCTTTATGCATTTGGACACCATACGAGCAAATGAAATGAAACTTTCCAGGAATGGTTTCTACAACTAGGGGAAGGTCAACGTCTACTTTTTTCCGAAAAAAAATAAATCCTACGCTTGCTACAGGCAATCTATGAAACTGACCAATAGGATTGCAGCATTTCAAAAGGTTGAAAAAACATCGATAGCGAAGGCGGCCGAAGGCCGTCTGAGCGCTCCAATAAAACATTTAAAATATTCTATCTATCTATGACAACCCGGTACTTGCTACAGGCAATCTATAGAACTGACCAGTAGGATTGCAGCATTTCAAAAAATTAAGAAAAATCAATAGCGAAGGCGGCCGAAGGCCGTCTGAGCGCTCAAATACAACCATTAACATGTTACATCTATGCAGGGCAATCTGTTACTTGCTACAGGCAATCTATAGAACTGACCAACAGGAATGCAGCATTTGCAAAAGTTAAAAAAACATCGATAGCGAAGGCGGCCGAAGGCCGTCTGAGCGCTCCAATGCAACAATAAGCAACACCCCACACCTTCCACCTCGCTACGGCAATCCGAAACTCGCTATAGGCAACCTACAGAAATGACTAATAAGATTTCAGCATTTCGAAGAGTTAAAAAAATAAATAGCGAAGGCGGCCAGAGGCCGTCTGAGCGCTCATGATTTGTTCCCTATGCATTTAGTCCCTGTAACAACTATGATCACCAAACTTTCCACAATGTTTTCTTAGGTCCTAGAGAAGGGTGTGGGTGTGGATGAAATTTCACCCAAATCATATTACAACGAAATTTGTGTCAATTTTCAGAAAATTTAGCGAATTTGTTATAATTCTAAAACTAAGCATTTTGTATCAATATTTCTTTGCTTTAAATTTGAAAACTGAACGTTTTTAATTTCTGATACTTAATAAAAGAAAAATGTAAACAAGTCTTTTCTTGATTCATAATGATGATGCATCCATTTATTTTCTGTGGCTCACAAAAACAATGCATTTGTTCTTTTCCTTCACTCATGGCGATGATGTATTGAGAATAAGAATGTAATAGAACGGTATCGTTAGATAATATGGCGTGATTCTTTTTCATTCGTTATCTATACATATAACGATGCATTGCACTCTTTCTTATTCCTTCTTATGCATTGCATTCTTTCTTATTCTTTCTTATGGATTGCATTCTTTCTTATTCTTTCTTATGGATTGCATTCTTTCTTATTTTTTCTCATGCATCATATAAATGAATGTATTTTTTTCTTATTCTCTTTCATTAATAAATAAATCAAAGTAAATAAAGTATTATACTATGCCACCAAAAAAGCGAAGTTCTCTGGCAAGAAGTACATCAAGTTCCAGAAGAATGGCAGCCTCTAGAGCTGCTCAGAGCCCAGAACAAACAAGCGATCGGCTTGCCGATCAACGATCACGGCAAGCAGCATCTAGAGCTGCCGCAGCTCCAGAAGAGCTGCCGCAGCTCCAGAAGAGCTGCCGCAGCTCCAGAAGAGCTGCGATCTCGCCGTGAACAAGATCGAATACGCCATGCTACTTTACGAGCAGCACAAACTCCGCAACAGCGTAGGACTCGAAGTGAAGATCAACATAGACGGCAAGCCGCTTCAAGAGCGGCACAATGGACATTTTTAGAAGGGGAAGCGTTCAAATATGATCCAACAAAAAGCTACGACAGTCATCCGCAGCTGTGTATTGGACAAATGACTGATGTTTGTTGTCCACATTGCAAGGCGTTTAAATGGTCTGGAGAAACACCTGGTATGTGCTGCTCTAATGGTAAGGTCAAATTGGCTCCACTTCGGCTTCCCCCTGAACCATTGGAATCACTAATGTTGGGAGAAACGTCTGAATCGAAACATTTCTTGGATAACATTAGAAAATACAATTCCTGTTTTCAAATGACATCATTTGGGACATCAGAAAAGGTGACTGACACCGGCTTCATGCCTACCTTCAGAGTTCAGGGTCAAGTATACCATCGTGTAGGATCTCTGTTGCCACCTTCGAATGCAGAACCTGTGTTTCTTCAAATTTATTTTATGGGTGACGATACCAAACAAGTAAAACAACGTTGCAAAAATTTGCCTGGCGTACGTGAAGATATTGTCAAGAAACTGCAGCAAATGGTTCATGAACACAATAGTTATGTGCAGTCGTTCAAGCTTGCCATTCAAAGAATGCCTTCAGATCAATACAAGGTGGTGATTCGAGCAGACAAGACACCTCTTGGAGAGCACGCACGACGCTTCAATGAGCCAGTGACAAATGAAATTGCGGTCGTCATAGCTGGCAACGAATTTGACAAACGAGATATTGTCTTGGAGAAGCAAAACGGTCAGTTACAGAGTGTGTCAGAGACACACAGATCTTATGACGCCTTGCAATATCCTCTTATATTTTGGGAAGGAGAAGATGGCTATCATTTCTTCATCGCACAAACTGATCCCACAACAGGATTACCTATCGACCGCAAGAAAGTATCGGCTATGAACTTCTATGCTTACAGAATTATGATGCGAAATGGAGATATCAATCATATTTTACGCTGTCGACAACTTTTTCATCAATTTGTAGTTGATATGTACGCTAAGATCGAAAGCGAACGATTAGCTTTTCTACGCCATAATCAGAAAACACTCAGAGTGGATGAGTATATTCACCTGAAGGATGCGATGGCCATTGATGGAAATCCGAGCAAAGTTGGTCAATTAGTGATTTTACCATCCACTTTCACTGGAAGTCCACGACATATGCACGAATACACACAAGATGCTATGACCTACGTGAGAAACTACGGAAGACCTGATCTCTTTGTGACATTCACCTGCAATCCTAAGTGGCAAGAAATTCAAGAAGAGTTGCTGCCTGAACAAACTCCGTCCGATCGTCATGATCTCTTAGCAAGAGTGTTCAGACAAAAGCTTATGAAGCTGATGAGTATTGTTAACAAGAGCCATGTATTCGGGCCAACAAGATGCTGGATGTATTCTATCGAATGGCAAAAGAGGGGGTTACCACACGCACATATTTTAATATGGCTAAAGGACAAGATTACATCCGATCAAATAGACAGTGTCATCAGTGCAGAACTACCTGATCCTCAACAAGATCCACGTCTCTTTGAAATAATCACCAAAAATATGATCCACGGTCCGTGTGGTGCTATCAACCCTACGGCTCCATGTATGCAGGACAAAAAAATATGCACCAAAAGATATCCACGACAACTGGTACGTGATACAGAAACTGGTGACGATGGATATCCATTATACAGGAGAAGAAGTCCAGAAGATGGTGGTATCAAGACCGAACTCTCAGTAAGAATTAACAATTCCATTCAAAAAATTGAGATAGACAACAAATGGGTTGTGCCATATTCTCCATTGCTCAGTCGAATCTTTCAAGCTCATATTAATGTCGAGTATTGCAATTCGGTGAAGTCAATTAAATACATCTGCAAATATGTCAACAAGGGAAGTGATCAGGCAGTGTTTGGTTTGGCGAGCGATGGAAAATCAATTGATGAAATTCAGCACTTTCAATTGGGTAGATACATCAGCAGTAATGAGGCAATCTGGCGAATTCTCGATTTTCCAATTCATGAACGATCTCCAACGGTAGTTCATTTAGCCGTACATTTGGAAAATGGTCAACGCGTCTTTTTTACGGAAGATAATGTGCATGAAAGAGTTAATGAACCACCAAAAACAACACTGACAGCATTTTTCTTGCTCTGTCAGAAAGATGACTTCGCCAAAACATTACTGTACTCTGAGGTTCCCAAATATTACACATGGGATGCATCTGGAAAAATGTTTAAGCGGCGCGTTCAAGGACCTCCTGTGGCTGGCCATTCAGGTATTCACGAAACGGACGCTTTGGGTCGTGTCTACACTGTACATCCCAACAACTTCGATTGTTTTTGTGTACGACTCTTACTTCATACGGTCAGAGGTCCTACTTCATTCGTAGCTCTGCGAACTGTAAATGGTCGAATCTGTGAAACATTTCGTGAGGCATGTCGATTACATGGATTGCTGGAAGATGACCAGCAATGGGATGCCACGATGTCTGAAGCAGCTACAGTTCACTCACCAGCAAGACTCAGAAATCTATTCGCACTCATACTAACTACCTGTGCACCGTCTGATCCAAAACAATTGTGGGAGTCGCACAAAGAAAGCTTAACCGAAGACATTCTTAGAGAAGCGCGCAGACAAAATCCGGGCATGAATTTAAATTATACTCCAGATATGTTCAATCAAGTGCTGATTATTCTCGAAGACAAAATTCTGCAATTGATCGGTAAAAAGCTTGAGAAATTTGATCTTCCTACTCCTCAGCGAAATCGTAGTAATAGTTTGAGCAGCGAAATGCTCAGAGAAACAAGTTATGATGTGAAAGAATTGGATGCCTATGTAGCAGCAAATGAACCGTTGTTAGTACCAGATCAGAGAGCTGCGTACAACGCTATTTTGGATCTGATCAAGAAGAAAGCTGGTGGAATAAAATTCCTTGATGCACCAGGTGGAACAGGGAAGACATTTGTCATCAATTTACTCTTGGCTAAAATTCGAAAAGACTCAAAAATTGCGATTGCAGTCGCCTCTTCGGGTATTGCTGCTACGCTGCTTCAAGGTGGTCGCACTGCTCACTCAACATTACGGTTGCCTTTCAAGTTTGTGCACAATGACCGTCATCTGTGTAGTATTCGCAAAGGAACTGGCGAAGCAAAGATTTTAGAAGAATGTGAACTTATTGTATGGGACGAGTGCACAATGGCTCAGAGGTATGCATTAGAAGCATTAAATAATACTCTACAAGATCTTCGTGGTAATGGAAATGATATGGGTGGAGTAGTTGTACTCCTTGCTGGAGATTTTAGGCAAACATTACCCGTCGTTGAAAAAGGTACAATGGCAGATGAGCTCAAAGTTTGCTTGAAATCTTCACATCTCTGGAGACATGTTAAAGTACTAACACTTACCACCAACATGAGAGTTGCGTTACAAGGTGACGTATCTGCCGGTCAGTTTGCTAAACAACTACTCGAGATCGGAAATGGCAAAATACGAGCTGATCCAGCCAATGGACTCATTAGTATTCCAGATAGCTTTTGTAACGTCGTTAAATCGGTCGAAGAACTTAAGAATAGTGTGTTTCCGAATATCCAAACTCATTTCAAGGATCATACATGGTTATGTGAACGTGCTATTCTAGCTCCCAAAAACGTGAACGTGAATACTATCAATCTACAAATACAACAACAGCTTCCTGGAGAAACTAAATCTTATAAGTCAATTGATACAACTACAAATGTCGATGTAGCAGTGCGGTATCCGACTGAGTTTCTAAATTCGCTGGAACCATCTGGAATGCCAACGCACAACTTACAGCTAAAAATTGGCTCTTCCATTATGCTTCTGAGAAATCTGGATGCACCAAGATTATGCAATGGTACAAGACTATGTGTCAAAACTCTAATGCCTCATGTAATCGAAGCAACGATCATGACAGGTTGTGCAAAAGGTGAGGATGTATTCATACCAAGAATACCCCTCATCCCTACTGATGACCTAATTCCATTTAAGCGACTTCAGTTTCCAATACGTCTTGCCTTCGCGATGTCCATCAATAAGTCTCAAGGACAATCACTTAAAGTTGCTGGTGTCAATTTAGAAACTCCTTGCTTTTCTCATGGTCAACTTTATGTGGCATGTTCAAGAGTGGGAACTGGAAAGAACTTATATCTTCTTGCTCCTGATAGGAAAACGAAAAACGTTGTGTACCAAACAGCTTTACAATAAAGAATATTATTTCACTACTTTTTTTTAATTGTAAGATGCTCATAAATAAAAAATATAAAAAATATCTAAAACAGGTGTCAAATATCAAATATCAAAGTCGAAACGAGAAAGATATGGGCCAATTTTATGATATTAGAGTTCTATTACATATATAATACGTCAAGAACATAGTATTCTTATGCACCAAGTTTACACTATTATATTATAGAGACTTGCAGCGGGTACTTCCGCTAGTTATTTATATAATGTAATTTTTCAGGTGATCAGTAAAATTAAATAAG